GATTGGGGGCTCACGCCTGTAATCCCAGCACTCAGGAGGCTGAGTTAGGAGAATTGCCATGAGCTCAAGCCTGAGCTACACAAGCAAGATTAAGGCCTGCCTATGCAACATAGTGAGGAATAAGTCTCCAGCAGGAGATCTGGGGACTCAGAAGAAGAGCAAAGCAAACCATGGGTTCATGTCTCCCAGCTCCTGCCCGGACAAGCCTTTCACCCAGATCTCCCAGTGCTTCTGAGCTAGAACTGAATCAAGGCTCCCTGTACCTTCCATGTGGCCACATCCTAAGAGCCAGGCTCCTTGGTTCCACCCTGTTGAAACCTTTGCCTTTTAAGGTTTGGAGGGCCAACCTCTTAAGCTTCAGGCAGATTTTTTTTTTTTTTTTGTAATTTTTTTTTTGTTTTTGTTGTTTTTATCGGTACCGGGGATCGAACTCACGACTGCCTGCTTGCAAGGCAGGCACTTATGCCACTGAGCTAAATCCCCAGCCCCAAGCCTCAGGCAGATTTGGCTGCTTTCCTTTGCCTCCTGAGGCAGTGCCAGTGCTGTGCAGGCCACCCACAGGCCTTTGGCCAGTGTAGAGTTTCAGCCTGAGCTTCTGTAGTCAGCATATGTCACCTGGCTGTAGTCAGAGCAGGTAGTCACCTCCTGAGTCCAGCTCTGAGAGCAGCCAGGCCTGTGCTGGGTACTGTGGGACGTGAGTGGGAGATAGAGCCAGATGCAGTCCCAGCCTTCACTAGGTCAATCTGGGGGGTTAGTGAGACATGGACCAAGACATTTTCACTTTCAAACTCTCACAGATGCCCAGTATGAGGCAGGAAGGAAGCAGGGCAGTTCTGAGTGAAGCAGTGGATGTGGGGCACACAGGGGTGGGTGGTGGAGAGGCCACAGTCCTGTCTCCCCCTTCCCCTCTCCCTGGTTGTCTTCTCCTGAGGAAATGTGAATTGGAGCCCCTGCTCTGTTTTGCTTTAGCAATTGAGAGAACTTGAGAGCTAGCAAGAATGAAAGCCATGGCCCAGGTCATAAGCCAGCGGTGAGGCTGAAGTCTGAGGGTTCCAGACTTCATGCTGAACGGTGGGGGTAAACCAACCCTTCCCACACCTTCCTGCTTCATCGCTGGGATCCTCCATCCACTCAGGAGAGCTGTGGGGACGGGGAGAAGGTCAGATGTGTTCCTGAAGCCCTTAGGTGTGAGACAGCAAAGAAGGAGCCCACGTGCCCCTCCTCGCAATAAGGACTAGGACTAGGCTTTTGTGTGTTTGGTTCACTGCTGATCTTCAGTCTGCACATGCGGCCCGGCACACTAAGCCGCAAGTAGAGTGGAATCAGTGAATCTGAGGCAGAATGTCAGGGAAGGGCAATCCTATCGGGACGCAGGTCCCCTTGCTGCACGGCTGGTATCACCTGAGCCTTGAGGGTGGAGGTCTGGGCTTCCTTGGGTCCCTGTAAATGCGGGCATTAGCTTGGCTGTTTCTTTCTCTTTCTCTTCAGAGCACTTTCCTATCAAAAGGACAGTGCTTCCCTTCTCTGAGCTTTCATTTCCTCAAGTGTAAAAATTACTTGCCAGAGACGCAGGGGCACAGCTACTCAAGAGGCTGAGGCCAGGGGTCCCTCGAACCCACGAGTTTCGGGCCAGCCTGAGCAACTTAGCAAGATCTGATTTTTTTTTTTTTTTTTTTTTTGGTACCAGGATCAAACTCATAACTATGTGCTTGCAAGGCAGGCATTTATGCTGCTGTGCTAATCCCCCAGCCTCAAGAAATCTGATTCTTTTAAAAAAGTGTTTTAAAAATATTTACTTTAAAAGTCTTTTTCTTTTTTTTACCGGTACCAGGGATTAAACTCAAGACCATGCGCTTGCAAGGCAGGTGCTTATGCTGCTGAGCTAAATCCACAGCCCCTTTAAAAGTCTTTTTAAATCCATTTAATTAAAATGGTTATTGGGACTTACCATAAGACACATGGGATTGAAGAAACAAATAAGATAATACTTGGGAAGGACAGCAGTGCATAACACATCATCAGTGACTGTCCCTGGCCCCCACCCAACTCATGTCCCTCTTTCCGGAATCAGCTCCAGGGCACGGCGTTAGGGAAGTTGGGCAAATGAGTGAACCACTGTGAAGATGGTGAAAGAGCAGAAACCAAGTCAGAGTGCTAGTACACAATGTGGCCGGTAGGTGGCGGCAGTGCCCGTGAAATCAGACTGGTCTCTAGACAACCTAAATTTCTTCAGGCAGCGCAAACTGTTCATGTTAATAAAAAAAAAAAAAAAAAAAAAAAAATACACGTGTAAACAAGCATGTGCCCGGGTAGGAAGTCTGCACAGAAAGCGCACCTCAACGCCTGTGTGTGAACACATGTGTGCGTGTATATGTGAACAATGAGCCTGTGTGATAACAGAATATACTATACATATGCAGCTTGTGTGTGGATGTCCTCACACAGTCCTGTGGGTGTCCGTGTGGTCTCCCGGAAAGTGTGGGCCTATTTGCATCTGACCTTGCGGAGCATGTGGACCCAATCACCTCTTTCTTTTCTCAGTACTTGGAACTGAACCCAGGGCTTTTGCACTGAGCTACGATCTGCACACATTTTTTAGTTCTTATTTTTAGATAAGATCTTACTAAGTTGCCCAGGGTAGATTCAGATTCGATATCTTCCTGTCTCAGCCTCCCAGAGTGCTGCGATTACAAATGTTTGCCACCATACCCAAAAAGGACATTTCTTTGAACCTTTGGGGACTAGAGCCCTAGTCCCAAGAAATCCTGACCCTGCAGCAAGGGGCTCAGTTCAGAGGCTCTAAAATCATCTGATAAAGAAGTAACCTGGTTGTTAATAAAGTGCACATATGAGTGTTCTTTTTCCTCCATTTGTCTTTCTTTGGTTTTTATTTTGTTTTATTTGTGATTTGTTTTCTTTTGTTGTTTTTGAGATAGAGTCTCATCGTACAGTGCAGGCTGGCCTTGAACTCACTTGTATAGCACAGGCTGGCCTCATGAGTCCTGGGACTCTAGGTGCGTGCCACCATGCCCAGCTTTTTTCCTTTTCTCTGTGTTTATCAGGTTTCTCAATTCCTATACATTGAGACCAAGAAACCCCACAAACATTATTGAACTTTTAAAAACTCTAATGTTTGTGGGGTCCCATTGTTACAGCAAATAGAAACACCAAAACAATACCCAAGACTTAGAAGCAGATTTATTTTATGTTAAAAGGTACTGATTGGAATCGTTTCCTATATATCAGGCCCTGATCTCTGGTGGGCTCGGGCTTTTATACGATGCACAAGCAGGAGATACAAAGGTGAGACAGAAGAGCTTGGCAGTTCATCTGATTCGCTGGCAGGGTGAGATCATCAGTTACAAGGCTAGATTAACAGTCATGAAGCTTGTACAATCAGGCATCCTTCATGTTCACTAATGCTCTTGGGTTATAGGGGTCAAGAAAGTAATTACAAAGCCATGAAGCAGTTACAGAGCTTGGCAATTTCAAAAGAACAAAGTTTTTATTTGTTTATTTATTGTGTGTGTGTGTGTGGCACCTGGGGTGGAACTCAGGACCTCACGCTTGCCAGGCGGGCATTGTGCCACTGAGCTATATCCCCTGCCTCAGAACAAAGTTTTTAAAAGAACAGTTTCTCTTGTAGTTTTTCCATTTCGTCATAGCCCTGGTGATGTCCTCAGTAGCTGGCTGAGAGAGCAGGTTTTGTTCTGGTAGCGCCCTCTAGCAGTGGGGCCGGTCCTCAGAGGGAGGCAGCTTGCAGCTGAAGCCATCAAGAAGACTTTGCCAGGCAGAGGGAGTTCGGTGATGTTGAAGGGTCATGGAGTAGGCACAGGGCCCTTCTGTCCACCTCTCTGAGGGCCCAGCCTGCACTGGGCTTTGGCGTTCCTCCTCCTGTAGTTTGTCCCTTCATCCTTGAAGGGAGCTTTAGGTAGCAGGCAAGTCTGAACATGGAATGCCCCCATTGGGAAGGGGGCCTGGGGCCATCTGGATTTTGTAGGCAATTGGGAGCTACTGAAGGTTAAAGATAGTGTTTTCCTGTTGATGATAATGTGCCCATTACTGTGCACAGCTGTTGTTTCACTAGATTCTCAGGAACGTGCTGGTTATAACAATTACTTATCCTGTTTTACAAAAGGGGAAGTGAGCCCCAGGGTGGTAGTGCAGATATTATTTTCCTCAGAGTACACACAAAACTGAGTAGAAAAAAAATCTTCACTCTGCAGACATTCACATGCAAACCTGTGTGCACCCATGCACACTCATCTTCACAGCCATTCTTTCCAGCCTCGGTGGGGCTCTGGGAGGAGCTGTGATGTGTGTGACATCTTGACCCAAGCCTGTCTTGAGCAGGGGAAGCTGGGCTGTCAACCCTCCTCTCGACCTAGGGAGCCTGTGGGCCTGCCCACCCTGCTCCCTGCCCATGGTCTGCACTGCACTCGGTGTGTGTGGGGGCAGCTGGGTGTTGTGTCTTCCAGGTCACCTCGGGCCCAGGGTGGGCCCAGGCTTGGGGCTTTGCAGAGGCTGAGGGTGGGGACAAAGAGGGGCCCCGATCCCTGGTGGCCTCTTAAGGATGAGTCACACATGCCATGGAGGGAGAGCCAATCAGAAAACTACTCTCCAGGAAGTTGAAGTAGAGAAGGTCTCCCAGGGAAGATGTCCCAACTCCCACCCTAAAGCCATCTTGATTCTGGGGCCAAAATAAAGGGCATGGAGGAGCTAGGGTAAAAGGAGGGGGATAGGGAAGCAGTGCGGGCCCCACGGATACGTGAGCTGGGAAGCCTGGTTTGGCCAGGGAAGGCTTGGAGCCTGTGGCTCCAAAGGACAAAGCTGCACATGTGTGCGTGCACATGCACGCACGCACACACACACACACACACACGCACACACACGCATGCATGCATGCTCGTACACACTGAGGTCGTGAGCCTCTGCTTCCCTCATGTCTGTCACCTTTCAGGCTCTCTCACTAAGGGACCCAAAAAGATGAACAAAACAGATAAGAATGTGGATGCTTATTTTATTGGGAAAGCAGAGGAAGTAGCACGATGACACCCGGGAGGGGTAAAGCCTGGTGTGTGAGGCAAGCCCAAAGCAGGGCGGTGCCTTGACAGGTGGCAGCTCTTAGGCATACTTTTCCCTATTTCTGGACTAATGCCCAGGGATTTTACCACCAGATGTCAGTTTCTGTGATCAAGGAACATGAGGGGAAAGTCTCAGTTCTCTCCCAGAATGGCACAGCACTCAGAATCCATCATGTACATGGACTTAAAATGTTAGACGACAGTAAAAGGCTCCATTTCTTGAGTATTTGCTGTGCAGTAGGCGTATTGTTCACCTGTGTGGTGTCCACTTGCATTTGCTGGGATCTTTTTTGGGGAAGGAGGATTTCTCCTGACTCAGCTTCCCAAGGGCTGTGATTATTGGTGTGCACCACCATGCCCAGATATTTTCTTTTTTGGTTTTTTGAGACAGAATTTTACTATGTAGTTCATGCTAGCCTTGAACTCATGTAGCCCAGGCTGGCCTTGAACTCACAACAATCCTCCTGCCCTGGCCTCCTAAGTGCAGGAATTACAGACATGCACCACAATGCCCATCATTTCTGGGAATGTCTGTGACCAGAGCAGACAAGGCCCATCCCTCAAAGCCTCCTTCTAAGTCTTAACTTTTTACCAGCTAAGTGTCATCATCCATGCAGGGGAAATGGGCCCAGAGAGTGAAGTGTCTTGCCTAGGGTCACACAGATGACATGGCAGGAAGTCAAAAGTTACGGAACAAACACACTTCCAAAGGAGGGAGAGAAGGATGGGGAGAGGGACCTGCCAAGGTCACAGCAGTGATTTGGGTGGCTAGCATGGAAGCAATGGCAGTGTCTGTGGCCAAGGCACTGAGGCATAGGACCTGGCACAGGAAATGTTCAGTCTGTGGCCTCGAGTTGCATGGGACGGTCTTGCTGGGGCCTTCCACATAATCAGAATGCTTCCCCGTGGGAGGCCAAAGGAGGCAGCGGAGGAAGTGGACTTGACCAACCTTTGACCTTGACGAAGTGGACTTGACCAACCTTTGACCTTGACCAAGCCACTCCCTTCCCTGAGCTTCAGTTTCCTCATCTGCAAAATGGAGGCAATAAAAATAAAGTCTATTTCATACTCTGGCTGGGAAGATTAAAGGGCTCCTCCATGTAATTTGGTACAGGTGAATGCTGTAGGTCACCTGCTGGTAGATGACAGCCTGTCATGAACGCAAAATGTGTGAAAGTGCTGGGCACTTTGGGTAAGCTCATCTCTGGCATGGCAGTGGCGCTGGGGCTGCACCCAAGACGATCCTCCAGCCATGCGCTCCACGGCATCAGCCTGCTGCCCTAGAAGGACCTCAGCAGCTCTCTGGAAGATTGGCTTTGAATTCTCAAGCTGCCTGCAGCCAGAGTCCCAGAGCCACCCAGTCAGCGTCCCGACCTGACCCCCATCAGTAAGCTCTGAGTGGTCTGGCCTCTCCCACTATCCCTGCCAGCTCCCAGCATTACCTGCCTGTTGTGCAGAAGTGAAATAAAGGAATAAATAATAACAAATACATAAATGGTGAAAGAAAGCTCTGTGTGTTTCCTGTTGGAGCTGTGGGACCAGGATCTGTAGGTAGCTGTCACCTCCCAGCATTTCTAGGTCTGATTCCCACTCTAGATCTGTAGTCCCCAGTTCAGGATCTGTCACTGATGCAAAGAAGGGGGGACTGGGCTGGGGGTTTAGCTCAGCGGCACAAGTGCCTGCCTGGCAAGCGCAAGGTCTTGGGTTCGATCAGGAGTTCAAACCCCGGTACCAAAAGAAAAGTGGGGGGGACTGAGACCCAGCAGATGCCTACTCAGGACTCTTGCTGCTCCCAGAACGCTGGCTAAACTTCAGATCCTATTCACCCCCCTCCACCTGGGGGACATTTCAAATTCCAAGCCAAGCACCCTTCCTTCCAGGAGCTCCCTCTGGCATTTGCACAATTATCAGAGATTAACTTTGTACTGGAGCCTACCAGGTGCCAGCATTTTGGCAGGCAGTTGCTGCTTGCTGCTACCAAGTGGCCAAGAATTCATCAACCCCAGGAATCTTATTAGAGACTGTCATTGGAGACTAACCCAGTCCTTTGCGTTAGATCCAGTAGCAAACGATAGGTCACAGAGGGCAAATCCCCTGGCCTGGTTCATGCAGCCACTTAGTTTCAGGTTTGAAATTTGAAATTCGGGAGTTTCCCAGGCCATGCAGGAGACTGAAGTTGAGGAGTTTTATGCCATGGGTTCCTCCCCACCCCCATTCTCTTCTGACACTTGACATTCTCCATCACTCCCTCCTCCTGGCAACGCCCTCCTCCTCCTGTTTCCATGGCAGCACATTCTACCCGGCTGTCCTCCTCCTGCCTCTGCCATGGCTTCTCACTCTCCACCGGGGCTCCTGAGCCTAGGAAGCAGGGGGATCCCCAGGCAGGGTCCCATACTCTTCTCTTTCTGGCTCCCCCTGTGAGCTCACCACTTTGCCTGTGGGTCTGTAGCCCTACTTCGTGTTCCAGCTTAGTAACACTTGCTTAGTATGTGCTAGACCATCCTTACGTGATGGGCCTATAGCTATACACACATTATCTCATTTAATCTGCACAACTACTCCTGAAGGTAGTTCACGCTACCACTGAGGATGCAGAGACCCAGGGAGGGTAAGCCAAGATCTGAGGCTAGCCCTACCTGCTACTTCAAGAACAGACAGGAAAATGTAGGGCATTCTTAAACCAGGGGCAAAAACTTCCCTCCCACTCCTAAAGAGAGGGAGAGAAATGGAAATTATGGAGGAAAGAGCCCTACTCCGCAGTTTTCAGAACCTAGTGATGATCTAGAATTACACTGTCAATTTGGAGCGTTAAAAATGCATCACACACAGTACATTTTGAAATGTGAAGATTTGGAGAGCTTCAAGAGGAACAAAAGTTCATGGAAAATTGGCCCTTTTCCTTCAAATTGCTCTAATTTGTCTTAAATCTTCAAAACCCTCACCCCAGGGTTTCGGCTACTAATGTCTTTCTACTTCACCGATGTCTGGAATTTCCTGCAAACTTGGACTGCAGAATTTCCCCTGGAAATTCACTGACCTCTGTCACTGCCAGCAGGGTTGTGACCCAGAGGCAAGTGGCTCAACCTCTCAGACCCTCAGCGTTCTTGTCCGAAATCGGGATACCACTACTTACCCACGTGGCTGCCACGAGACTCCACTGGGATAATGTACATAACACCTGGCATCCAGCCTGGCACACAGAAGTACTCAGTTAAATCCTCTGTTCTCGCATATAATTTCTTGGATTTGGACATCTCATGCTTTTGCACACACTGTTCCCTCCTGTTGGTGACCAACCTCTGTTTGTACTTTAAGAACACTTGAACATTTCCCACCTCTCATGAAATTGCTACACATGTGTTTTTAGTAAAAAGATAACAAAAGGCTCTTCCTATGACATACTCCCTAGGGCTCTCTGTCCCCGCACTCATCACACTGGGATGCAATCATCTATCTATCCACTGACTGTCTCAGACATTCTGAGGGCAGGGCCATGTGTGCCAGGTGGGTAGAAAGTAGATTTCAAGGACCAGGGATATAGCTCAGCAGTACAAGTGCCTGCCTGGCAAGTGTGAGGTTGTGAGATCGATCTCTAGTAAAAAAAAAAAGAAAAAGGTAGATTTCAATGCAAAATCGCTTTACCTTACATGCATGTGGTTGGGATCCAGGCCCTGCCAAACTCAGGACAACCTTAAATATCTGCTAGCAGGAGCAAGAAGCAGCCAGATGGCAGTGAGTGGGCTTAGAGCGGCTTAAGGACAGGTCTGTGGTGTGTGTATGCGTGTGCGTGTGTGGTGACACAGCGCTTACAAGAATAAACAGTCTCAGGCTGGGGATTTAGCTCAGTGGCATAAGCACCTGCCTTGCAAGCAGGGAATCGTGAGTTGGATCCCCGGTACCGATAAAAAGAAAAAAAAAAAAAAAAAAGGAAAAAAGAATAAACAGTCTTGCTCCCAATTACTTCAAGATTCTCTGGTTCCTAAATTGTCTTCTTTCTCTGCGTTGTCCCCAGAGCATTAGCAGGAGGGCTCCCAGTCCAGGACGTCCTCCTGCCTTGCTGAGGCCCCCTCCACACAGAAGTCTCTATGATTGCTGGGCCCGTCTGGGTGGTGATGACTGAGATATGAGCGGACTGAGCCTCTGGGTCACCATATCTTGGGAGCTGGATCTGAGTGGTGGTCACTGCTGTACATCCGAGGTCCCAGAGGAGGCACTTCCTCGAAGAAAGTCCCCAGGTCCAGGAGAGGGCTGTGCTTTGCCTTTGAAAGGACTCTCACCCCTTAAAATGTGCACGAAGCCCATCTTGGTGCCCCCCTCCCCACTAGTTCAGTCCCTGCTGGAGTGACAGCTCCCAGCTTTTGTTCCCAAAAAATGGCTGTCAAAGGGAAAAGAGGTATATTGTTTCTTTTTTCTTTTTTGGTTTGAGACAAAGGCGTCAATTTCTTCCCCTCTGTCCCAAAAAAGGAAGAAAATTAAATTTGTTTTTACAGGGATGTCAGCACTTGCTTCAATAGGGAGTCAGGGGTGTCTTGCTGAGGCAGGATGGGGGGAGGGTGGGGAGAGGAGCCTGCGAGGAGGGGCTCAGGGGACTAGGACAGACCCTGACACCAAGGGAAGCAAAGATCTGGCTTCTACGCCTGGCTTTGGGTGGACCCCAGAACTCAGCAGCCTGAAGGAGCTGGGCAGGCTGGAGCCGAGGACCTCAGGAGAGGGGAGCACACACCATCTTCCCTCAGTTCCACCAAAATCAGGCTCCACATGGACAGTTTGAGTTTATCCGAGGTAGACACACATGCATGGGGCACAGATGGGTATTGGGAGGAGAGACAATTCTGAGGTTCTTATCAGGGGTCTGGAAATCTGCATGGGTATCTTGGCACCCCCCCTCCCCCAGTTCACTCGCCAAGCATGGGGCTCCATGTAGGTGATTCTCTCTGTGCTCTGATAGCTGAGTACCACAGACACCAGGACCCTGGGGACTCCCCAGAAGTGTCCCTCCTCAGGATGGAGGACCTAACCTCAGAGCAGAAGCATGCTTCCCCGCCTTAGCCCACTACCACCACCTCCACCCCCTGGCACGAAGCCCATGCAGCTGGGGTTTTGGAGCCCCAGGACCTCCTTGCTCCTTCTCGAGCCTCAAGCGCTTGGTTGTAGCGACCCTATTTCAACTGAAGCCTGTCAACCTCCCCACTGGCCCTACTCACTGTCCTGTACCAGGATTCACTGGATACTGCTGTGGACTGTGGACATTGATTCCAATCTTAGGCATCACTTTCCATTCCAAAGAAACGGTTGGAGTGAAAAGATATGCTGTTTCTCTTCCTCTTTTCTGTTTCTTTTGTATTCACTTTACTTATGAAGATGTCAAATTGTACCTAGATTTCAGGGAGTTTCCATATGCTGCTAGAACTCGGGCTGGGACTCTCCCCCAAACATGAGGCCCCACCTCCTGCACACAGCCCCTCTGTCTACTGACAAACCTGAGCCGTCACCAGCCTGCCTGTCCTGATTCTCCATCTTACCCCGGAGGAGGCTCCTCTCCTCCACGCCCGGTCTTGCAGCTCAGTCTTAAGCCACTGCGCACCCCTGCCCCTCCTCGGCCCCCTCCTCAGTGCAGAATCATCAGATTCTAGACCAGATCTTGATGCCTCAAAGCCCTATGGGGTTTAGAACTCAAGGCGGCACCAAGTCGAACTTCTGCCCACTGCACAGGTCCCATTAAGGAGCCCGGTTCTGGTGCTGCAGGTCCCACACCCCTGCAGTCGCTAGCTGTCCCTGCCCAGCCTAGGGCCTTGCTCAGGTACTCTTCCCCCACTGGATCCAGAGCCACCCCACTGCACAGGCCTCATCTCGTGACCACTACCTGGTCCCAAGTACCCAGCTCTTCTCCAAAACAGAGGCCTCATCCAGCGGCCCATGCCTCCTCATCCTTGACTGCCCCTTCCCGGATCGTGGCTCCACCTCCCGGGGGCCTCCGTGGTCACCTTGGAGGTGCCCGGGGGGAGGAGCGTGGTCAGGGGCCATCGGAGGGGGTGCAGGCGGTGACCCGCTCGCGGGCTGTGGCCTCGCGCGCCCGGCTGAAGCTGCTGGGCTCCGGACGGCCGCACGGCGAGCGGCAGAGCTGGCGGAAGCAGCGCTTGAAATTCTCGTCCAGGAAGGCGTAGAGCACTGGGTTGAGGCTGCTGTTGGCGTAGCCCAGGGCGATGCACAGATGCAGCGCCGCCACCACGAATGGGTCGTGCCGGTCGATGTCCACCAGGGTCCAGACGATGACGAAGATGTGAATGGGCGCCCAGCACACCACGAAGGCTCCCACCACCACCAGCACCATGCGCGTGATGCGCCGCAGGCTGCGGTCCTTCTCCTTGGAGCCCGACAGCAGGCGCACACTGCGCAGGCGCAGCAGCATGAGGCCGTAGCACACCGTGATGATGAGGATGGGCACCACGAAGGCGAAGAGGAACACGCAGATCTTGGTCACTGTGTCCCAGTACCAGCTGGGGCTGGGGAACTGGAGCATGCACACCACTGCCCCATCTGGGGAGGGGAGATAAGGAAAGAAGGATGAGAGGCCTGGCCTCTGTGCCTGAGGTCCTGCCTGCTCGGCTCCATCTTGGTGTGGGCCCTTAATTCTTCTGCCTTGAACACCCCCTCACTTTGCACTTGATGAACTCTTGCTCATCCTTAAAAACCCCAGAAGCAAAAACAAAACAAAATAAAAATCAGGACTGACCCTCATCTGAGAAGTCCCCTTTCTGAGTTCTCTCCTAAGCCCTTCATAAGCTTCTGTGTCCATGGGTAATAGTAATAAATCACTTAAAATTAATTTATCCCAGGGTACTAAGTGTGATAACGCACCATTTCCAAACTTATTCCAATGGGATAACACTGCTAAGACGGATTTAAAGAGTGTGACTGGATGGGCATGGTGGTTCACACCTGTAATCCTAGCACTCAGGAGGCTGAGGCAGGAGGATCACACGAGTTGAAGATTAGCTGGGCTATATAGTGAGTTCAAGGCCAGTCTGAACTGCATAGTAAGATCTCATTTCTTTTCTTTTCTTTTCTTTTTTTTTCTTTTTTTTTTTTTTTTTTGTCTTTTTCGTTTTTATCTGTACTAGGGATCGAACTCACGACTGCCTGCTTGCAAGGCAGGTGCTTATGCCGCTGAGCTAAATCCCCAGCCCCAAGATCTCATTTCTTTAAAAAAAAAAGGGGGGGGGGTCACTCAAATTTGGCTTGGTGGCATACTCACTCTGGGAGCCTGAGGCAGGAAGTTCACAAGTCTGAGGCCTGGCTAGGCAACTTAGTGACTTAGCAATGTCTTAAAATTTTAAAAACGGCTGGGTATGTACTAGGTCTTGGATTCAGTTTCCAATCCCAGGAAAGAAAAACAAATAAACTTGATTCAACAGCAGACTCAGACTGTAACTACTGTACATGGTGTGAGTTGGCCAAATCATACCCACTTCAATTCAAGCTTTAAAAAGGTGGGACTCATAACGTACCCACATCCCCAGGGATTGCTGCAAAGACTAAATAGGCCTGGGGGTAGTAAGGCATTTAGCATGGTAAGAGTCAAGGACTTGGTGCACACACAGAAAGAGGAGCCGATACTTAGAAGAATCTAGGTCCCAGGGTTAACCCAGCCTCCCTGGAGGAAGGCTAATGTTGGCCAATATCAAGATCTTTTCAGCTGGAGGAGGTGAGCATGCTGTAATCCCAGCTAATTGGGAGGCTGATGCAGGATGATCCAAGTTCAAATCCAGCCTAGTCAATTTAGTAAGAGGTTGGCTCAAAATAAAAAATAAAAAGAGCAGGGAATGTAGCTCAGTAAGAGAGCACCTCAGGGTTTGAACCCCAATACTGGGGGGAAAAAACAAAAACCTTTTAGTAGCCAGGAGTGGTGGCTCACGCCTGTAATCCCAGCACTTGGGAGGCTGAGGCAGGAGGATCATTGCGAGTTTGAGACCAGCCTGGGCTACAAAGTGAGCTCAAGGCCAGCCTGAACTGCACAGAGAGATCCTGTCTCAAAAAGACAAAAAAAAAAAGCCCTTTTGACAGAGTAGAAGGGTACCCAGGAGAAAATAAGGTCCCCATTCCTGGAATGAAGGCTTGGGCTAGACCAGCACTTTGGGAGGATGTTGTGAGCTTCTTATGCAGGACTGAGGCTGGCCCAGGTGAGTCCTAAGATCTAGAGCCACACAGCAGGCTTGGGGGCCTAGAGTTATGAGAGGAAGCTGGGACCCCACAGACAAGGTGGATTCCAGGACATCAGGCTGGCAGGACTCTTGGGGTTCACTGAGTCCAAGACCTTTGTCCTACAGATGGCAAATAAGGTCACACAGGAAGTAGCACACAGAACAACCAATCTGGAGGTGTGTGTGTGTGTGTGTGTGTGTGTGTGTGTGTGTGTGACAGAGACAGAGACAGAGAGAGAGAGAGAGAGAGAGAGAGAGAGAGAGAGAGAGGAGTGAGGAGCCCATCTGGTCCAGCCCCAGCAGGGCTGCAGCTAATGGTGTGGAAACTGAAGCTGACAGTGAGGAACGGAGCCCTGCTGCTGAGTCAAAACCAAGTGTTCCGCGGCTGCTTAAGGGCACCAGGGATGCTGTCCTTGTGAGAGTCAGAGGTGACCAAGAGGCCTCCCATCAGGCCTGTTCCGGGCTCCACTCGCAGCATCCAGCCTCTGTAGAACTCCTCCCAAAGGGCCAAAAAGAACAACAGATCTGAGGGCAGGAACCTCGGTTTGTAAGCCAGTTGCCACCCACTGCCCAGCTATGTGACGCAGGTAAATCACATGGCCTTTCTGATTCTCGGTTTTCTCATAGTCAAACAGAGGAAGGAGTCATCACCTTTGTCTACCCCACAGGCTTAATTATTTAGCAGCTGCATTTATTAGGCCTTGGCAATGAGCCAGGCCTTTTCCTAAGTGTTTTACACATATCACCTCATTTAACCTTCTCTAGCGTGGCTCCAAGAACTTAATTGTTTCCTCGTGTCTTTGGTGCTCTTCTAGACTATCTTGCCCACTTCCTCACATCAAGGCAGGGCCATGTGAGCAATTATCACTAGGAAGGGATGGACCAGGATATTTAAACGTGGTCATGAAGCTAGGTCTTTAGCTCAGTGGTGGACCATTTTGCCTAGTGTGAGCAAGACCCCGGGTTTGATCCCCAGCATTGCAAAAAAGAAAAGAAAAGAAGCATTATCTGTGCATCCTCCCACTCTCTCTCTATGTTCACACAGGCAGATTCCGGCAGTGAAAGGTTCAGGAACAGTCAGTTGGAGCCTGGGTCCCTAAATGACTGTGCTGTTTGCAATATACATGAGAAATAAACCTTTACCATGTTAATCCCTGGGCTTTGGAGATTGTTATAGCTGCTACAGCACCAAATACATGAAGTCACTAAAATGATTATAGCTTTATTCCAAGGAAATACACCTTTCATTCTCTAAGCTTTGCTTTTGTCATCTGACCAGTGGTTTTCAAAATCTGGTAAAGAAAGTTTGGGGTAGCCATCTTCCAGCCTCCATTTCTCATTGGTCAGTGACACTTTTACCCTGCTGCCTCTCTGTCCATCTCCCTAGAGGTCAGTCAATCCACAGTCCTGGCCAACCATCTACAGGGGCCCAGGCCAGCCACCCATAGTCCACTGACAACTCACGCATCATCATGCAGACTCCCACCCACATCCCCCAGTGGCCAAACATTCCCATCCTGCTGGCTGAACTTCCACACTCTCAGGGGCTCCACCAGTGGACAGCTGCCTCCACGCACCCTGGGAAGTGCCCTGCAAACCCAGAGAGGCTCATGTGCTGCCCGTGGCCTGAGACCTAAGTCATCACCCCTTCTCTCACTCACCCCGGGGACGGGTCACAGCCATGACCATGATAGGGACACCAACACCTGAGGCCAAGACCCAGATGCAGATGTTGATCAGCTTGGCCTTGGCAGGTGTGCGGAAGTCCAGGGCCTTGACAGGGTGGCAGACGGCGATGTAGCGATCAACACTCATCATGGTGAGCGTGAAGATGCTGGTGAACATGTTGTAGTAGTCGATGGAGAGCACAGCCTTGCATAGCAGCTCCCCGAAGGGCCATGTCTCCATCAGGTACTTGGCGCTCTGGAAGGGCAGTGTGCTGGTGGCCAGCGCATCGGCCAAGGCCAGGTTGAAGATGTAGATGTTGGTTGCTGTCTTCAACTTAGTGTACCTTAGAAGGAAGTACATGGGTCATTATCCTATTTTACAGATTTCAGTTTTCATTAAACACAGAGGGTACAGTGACTTGCCTAAGGTCACACAGAAGGTCAAGGGCAGGTCCTGAACCATCTGATTCAGCATCACTCCTGTCCACTACAACAGAGGCAGAAGTATGTCTCTGGTTGTGGGTGACTTTGGCTGAAGGTATTTTAGGAAAAGCCATATAGTCTGAGAGGTACTAAGCAATTGGGTTTAAGAAAAAACTGACTCCAGAGGGAAACAAGTTGGGGTTCTAACCCTGCCTCTACTGTATATTGGCTGAGTGACTCTGGGCTAGTAGTTCGAGGTCTCTGAGCTTCAGCAACTTTAACTATAGAAAGAAGGTTAATACTTGCACCAGCCTCTTGGGATGGGTATGAAAATTTAATGAGGTAATACAGGACTTAGCACTGAGCCCAGCAGTTGGTGAATGTGCAGGACAGGGGTGTAGCTCTGTGGGTGAGCACTTGCCAGCATGGGTGCTGCCCTGGCTTTGATCCCAGAACTGCAAAAGAAAAAACCAAACATGCAGGCCAGTATAACTGTTATTCTTCATCTGTTGGAGAATGAGGCTGGGGGCTAGCCCAGAGTGGTCAGATTCTCCAGCTTCTACCACTGACCTGGCCTTCCGGGAATACAATTGGCCATATCTGAAGAAGGGGCTCTGCCTGGGGCTGTAGACCCTTCGGGTGTCCTCTGTGGCCTTCCTTGGCCCATCCAGACCTTCTGGTCCCTGCAAGCTGGAATCCACTGTCCGGCAGCCTGGGTGCATGCCTCTTCCCACCCCTAGTTGTGTGGGAAAGATGAGCCACTGACAGCGTCACATAGAAACCCCGGGTATGGGCCAGGTATCAAGCCAGATGGGTGTGCCCAAACTGTACCCCACCCTCCCAGCATGCCCCGTGCTCTGTGCTGCACACAGCTGTCTCCATCACAACTGGCCCTTGTTTAGCCAGTATTTACAGTCACGGTCCCTTTTGCAGCAGGGCCTGGGCTGGGCACTGGAAAGCTGGAGAAACTGCCCTGTCCAGTATACTCGTCACGGGAACACAGGTCCACTGAGGCGGGGCTAAGGACTTCCTTCTGGCCTGGACTGATCTGAGAAACCCAGGGAAAGGCCCCACCATATGAGCAATTCCTTGCTTTCCAGAACAGGAAGAGCCTTGGAAGACTGCAGGGAAGCAATTGTTTATTGTTGTTCTGGTGCTGAGAATCGAAGTCACAACCTTGCACTTGCCAGGCAGGTGCTGTGCCACTGAGCTATATCCTCAACCTGGGAAGTGATCTCCTGAGGCGGGATCTGAGGGCTCCCTTCACAATTACTAGCAGAGCCTGTGAAAAATGCAGACACCTGGAACCCAGATCTCCTAACCTATAGATTATGAATCTCTAGAACTGGGCCAAGGAATTTCCATCTTTAGCAAGCATGCCTTCGCCCTAAGTGAGTCTTACCAACTCTAGAGGTTAGAGAATCACTACTCAGAGTGAGGCCCTTACTGGGAAGAGACAGGAAATTGGAAGCCCGAGAGGCTGCACAACCCACCCAAGGTCACATAGCAAAGGTGGCAAAGCCAAGGTGAGAACTTGGACCTCCTGACTCCCCATGTACGCTCTCTACTCTAGCCAACGGGTGATGTCACACTGTGTGCTTCTCTTTACTTCCTTAGAATGCCTCTGATGCTACCCAGGAAGAGGGTACAGTATAGTACTTAATGTTTTTGAAACCACTGAACAATCTCACATCTGCTAAAGCTGTTTCTTCAAGAAGCCATGAGGCTTTTTTTGGTTTAAAACAAATGGACTCACTCATTGTCCTTCACGGCCAGCATCTGTCCCACTCCCTCCCAAAATAGCTGCTATTTGCTCTGGGGCTGGAAAAGCAAAAAGTTTTGCTGGGAGACAGCACAATCACAAGTCTCGGGAAGTCTGTCTTGAGCGAGCGAGCGGATCCCAGCTGCGTGGGAGGCGGTCTCAAGCCCACAGCTGCCTGTCTAATTTCTCTGCTCTTACGCAGAACAATTCAGGGTTGTTCTCTGCATGCTATTTTGATTTGTGAACGATCCTTCATCCCCAGAGGCGGATGGGTCTCAGAGAAACGGGAGAAGCAGCTTCTGAGACTGCGCTGGGTGCCCCCCACCAGCGGCTCAGCGCGGGGTCTGCCAGGCAGCCCCCACCTTGTCCTCTTCTCGCTCCTTCTCATGCCTTGATACCATGCCCTGCGCTGATGGCACCTTCGACCCTTCTCCAGTCCCAGTCATGCGGCAGTCCCTCCTGCACAAGTTGGCCCCGGCCACCTCCAGGCCTCCAGTTCTCCATACCTGTCCCTGGAATGATGTCCCCTGACACCCACTTCCGTTTCTTCTCTGTGTGTCCTTAGACATGTCCAGCCCACTCCAGCTCAGGCCCTCCAGTCTCGCTGCTCCCTCTGCCTCCATCAGGACTCTTCCAATGTCCCCTCCTCAGAGAGGTCCATCCCACACTCCAGCTACCCTGTGCCTCTCCCCAGCAGCACTCTCTGGCTTTTTGCAGGGCGGGGCGGGTGGTCCTGGGGATGGAACCCAAGGCCTCACACATGCACACCTTAGGCAAGAATCTACCACTGAGCTATAGCCTCAGATCTTTTTCTTTTCTTAAATTTTGAGACAGTCTTGCCAAATTACTCAGGCTTGCCTTGAACTTGAGCTCCTCCTATCTCAGTCTCCCAAGCAGCTGGGATTACAGGCCTGTGCCGCCACTTCTGGTGCTCTTTACAGCACTTCTCTTTATAGCAGAAAGTACCCCCTCCTGTGGTCTCTGAAATATCTTCTTTTCTGTCCATGGAACTCTGTCACCCAGAGCTCTCTGAAGGTAGGTGACTCAGTCCATTTTGTTCCCTGCCACCACCAGTGCAAATTTCAGGCTTCTGCGGACATCTGCCATAGCCATGGCCCAGCACACCCTCTGGGTCACTTCCTACCCTCCAGCACCTTCCTCTGATTTCTGTCCATCGAGTCCCCCTCCCAAGAGACAGCTCCTGGGATAGTCTAGTGAGGAGCCTTCCAAAGGACATATACGAATGCAGATTTTTAGAAAATTTCTTTTCTGCCAGTATAATACAGAACATGAAAAGCTATCAAATACTAATAAAAACATTCACCCCCTCTGCCCAGCTTTCCTCTCTCCTCTGCCTGGCTCTGAGGGGCAACCATGGTTAATGTTTTTAATTATCTATTTTAATTATTTTTCTGGGGTGATTACCTCCATAATTCTAAATTTCTTGATTTATCAATTTCAAGTAGTATTTGTTGAAGTTTGTATGTGGCTAGCTAAGGCTTGGTAGTGGCAGTAGCAAGTAATTCCAAAGTTGTAGGGGCTTGGCACATTAAAGGTTCACAGTTGACCCGACTTACAATTGGTTCACGAGGACTGGTTGTAACTCAAGTTCATTGTAAGTCAAGACTGCTTTCCCCATAAGAAATCATGGAAATACCCATAATACATTTCAAACCTCCCAAAGCACCCCTTAACTAACTTTTCATTATTAAAAAAAGGTTGAACAATGCACGTAATTCACCAGAAACACCAATAATTTTCCTAGAGTATTCACCAAAGAGTTATAAAATGCATCTAGTTTACTAGAAACAGCAATGTCATACTGTACTCACCATTCAAGTTTAAATCTTTGGCCTGCAGGAAGGCAGGATGAAATGGGAGGTGGTTATTGTGGGAGGAGAATCTTCTTCCATAAAAACATCAGGAATCTGGCTCTCTGGAGCCCTTTCTCACCTTGGGAGAATCCATAGCCCACTAGGACCTGCTTCTGGCTCATTAGGTCTCAACCGTTTCAGAACTAAACAGTGGTCTAAGGATTTCTGCTTCTGTCTTTTCTTTAACACTGTTCTATTTTATTGTGATTGCTTTCTTTCCCTTCCTTCCCTTAGTGTCTTCTCTAGCTTTTTGGGGGAGGACATTTTGATAGCAATAATCATAGTGCTTATCATGTCAACAAACACAAGTATCTCTGCTCAGACTGAAGCTCACGTACATTTACATACATTTTTCTGGCATCAGCAGTCTTTGTTTACAACTGTGCAAGCACCTGGCATTGGAGTTGTCACTCAAGACTTTGGTTGTGGGCTGGGGATTTAGCTCAGTGGCACAAGCATCCGCCTGGCAAGCACAGCATAAGTTCAATTGCTGGTACCAAAAAACAAAAAACAAACAAAATAAAAAAGGCTTTGGTTGTAAGTCAAATCTAAAATTCTGGTCCTAAGTTGTTTGTACACGAGGTCAGTTATAACTCAAGGGTCTACTGTATTTCTCATTCTTGCAGAATCCATTCAAAATTGCGAGGATTTCACACTCTAGGCGGCTACACTTGTATGGCTCTGTCATCTTAATCCACAGCCTCCTTGATCAGTGCAGAAAGTGGGTCATCTAAGCATATGTCTAGCAGCGATGCATTCTCACAACATAGACTTTTGGTTAAAATTGTGAAGGAAAAAACCCCATAAATTGTGATTCAGGATTAGTGAGGTATCGTGGTCTGTGTCTGTGGTCCCAGCTACGTAGGAGACTGGAACAGGAAGAGCACCTGGGCCCAGAAGTTGGACCCCTTCTTAAAAAAAAGTAAAATCAGGATTTACATTTTTCTTCTCCTTCTCCAATGCCAAAGTCTTACTGTGTTACTCCAGGTTGGTGTCAAACTCACCGTCTCAAGCAATCCTCCCACCTCAGCCTCCCAAACACCTAAGACTACAGGCACCACTGTGCCCAGCTCTCTTTCCTTCTCCCGCTCCCTCTATCTCTTTTCTGAGTTTACATTCTAGTGATTTTGTAGCTATTTCTATTCCTGAGTCAAAGAGCATAATTACATTTATATTTACCATTTTTTATTTGCTTAGTTCTGTGTACATATTGCTAAATCTCCTCAAACAAACACACCAACAGACCTGTAAAACACCTTTTCCTCAGAGTCACATAATTGACCCA